ACCCCATGCCCCAGTCAGTCCCTTGAGATTGAGCCCTTTTGACCCTGCTTATGTTATATATATTGAAGTTAATGGAGAATTTTGGTTTTCCTATTAACTCCTCGGTTAACACAAAAGAAAATTACAGTGACTTGGTAATGATAATTGGTGCCCGCCTCATAGAGAATGGGTGAAGGTAAATGTTGATGGTGCTGTCTATAAAATTGATAAGCAAACGAGGTTTGGTGTGGTCTTTGGAGATGATTTAGGCATGTGGATTGTGGGGTTCACTCAGAAGGTCTACTATCCCCATCCCTGAAAATTAAAATAACATAAAATTTAATGTGTTAAATAATAAGAATAAAAAAATATACAGTTTAATAATAAAAAATTAAAACATAATAAAAATATCATGGTCATTTATAAAAATAAGTATAACCCAACTCCCATTTACAATTTTAAATTCATCAAAAAGTTGAGTCGCCAAATTCACATTTAAACCATATTCAACCCACTTTCAAAAAATTATTTTGTTCACATAAAAAAATATTCAAACAACATTTAACATCTAAAATGTTAAAAAATAAATCTAAAATGCTGAACGTTGAATATCCAAATGCACCCATAATTACCATCAGAAATGCACCCATAATTACCATAAGATGAATTCTCCTTTAAATTCAAAGCTATAAAATCAGTCAAAAGACAAGGAGAAAAATTCAAGAATGATGCCTGGGTTTAACAAGATTCAACCACAATGGGTCATTTATGATAAACATATTTGAAAACATAACTCAACAATCTATCATCAACTCGACCAAATAGAAAAAGCACATTTTGACCCACAAACGGTGGGATAGAGACCAACAGTTCAACACCATATGACCCAATGAACACCATGGTGCTATCATAATAATAAGTTAAATGACATTCATACCCCCTCAACTATTTTCTTATGAATATATAGCACCCTAAAATTTTGATATGGTGTAATTTTCTCTTTCAACATATGAAAATGATACATTGACCAACCTGCCACCCAAAAAATTAATTTTCACAGTTAGTCGTTTCAAAAATTGCAGAAAAACCTACATATAAGTACCTTATGGGAAAATTAATATAAATTAAGTATCCTAAATTATATATAAATAACATAATATAAATATTATTTTTTATTCACGCAAAAGACCAAAATATGATTTTAACTGACCATTATTTTATGAACTTAACTGAAATTAATTTTTTATTGGATATTTATTCACAATTTTATAGATCATTTTATGTAATTTTTTAGCTCCGTTTTTTGTAATTTTTTCAATCTGTCAAAGTTAAATAGATATATATAGTTGTTCTCTCTGAAGAGTGCTATATGTATTTATAACTAATCATAATCATAAGCTTCTCCAAATCATAGTATGGTTAGGCTTAACAAACAAATTAGTGGCATTTGTTCCAAGACCGTTGCAGCTGTCTACCTAATGCGCCAGAAGCAAAGTTGGATCCATAGTTATACACACTGATAGTGTTACTAGCACCCAAAATACCAATAACAATTATATGAGAAAACATAACTTTTAATTTCTTTATTTGTTTTTTGGTATTTTAAATCTCTATATTTTTATTTTTTTTATATTCTAAATTTCTCCAAAGTCTCTACACTTTGTTCATTTAGAAACTTAAAACACCAAAAAAAAGAAAGTATAAGAGCTTAAAACACTAAAAAAAAAAAAATGTATTGACCTATAACAAAACACAAGTAAAATGTAAGAACCAAAAGTTATATTTTTTTAAATTATATTTATCATTGTTAATTTTCGTTTTAATTATAATGATCTCTTTTCCTTTTTGAAAAATTACACTTCAACCCAACTTATTTACATTGTTGGCAATATTCTTAAAAGGAAATATCAAAAATTATATTAATACAATAATATGAACAATTTTTCACTCATTATATTAAACTTAATTCACAAATTTCCTTATGTATACAGGCTTGAAATTTTTTTAGCAAACATATTTGTTTTAAAAAATACAAAATGTATAAAAATTTGAAATTAAAATTAATATGATAAAATTAAAATATATTATTAAAATTATTTTTTTTCAATAATTGTTTAAATGATTTTTAAAGAAAATCTATATTAAAAGGGTATTTAACAGTCAATTAATCAATACAAATGAAACCTTGGATAATATCGACGAATTTTTTGTAACATAACTTCTAGTTTTTTAGTGAGATCGATGCAGGTTGAAAATAAAAACGATGTTTCTATTAAAAAAAAATTAAAAGAATGAATGAAATGTACTATCATTTAACTCTAATTAATATGCAATTAACTTATCAAGCCTGCTTCTTTTGAAAAACATTATTCCCTTAAATTCTAAATATAAGAGCCAATTGAGGGATTTGTTTTGGTATTAGATATAAGATCTCAATCTATTTTGTCTTCTAAATTTATAATTTTTTCCAATTTATCCTTATTGATTACACATATTAAAGGAGATTCTTATTAATAGGAATTATTTCCAATGTAAATGATTAAATGAGATACTTTACGGAAACCAACACACATTTTGTATAAATAATTAATTTAACTAATTCTTCTTAATCTATTCAAATTATCATATATCCCCGAAGGGGCTAATCTATGTAAATTAATCATCTAACTTTTATATTTAGAACCTGCAAAAGTATACACTTAACTTGAAAGTGATGTGGTGAACACATTGTGCCAAGGTTAGTGATTAAACTTGACTTGCGGAGAAGAACTTAACAACTCAAAATTTTAATATTAAGTGCTTTCAAAGTTCAAATCCAATAACTACTATAAAAAAAGACCTATGAAAACATCCATAAAAGAGTGCTTTTACACAGAAGCGCTCTCATACATATAAAGCACTTTCAAAGTGCTCCAATATGGTCAAATGAAAGGAAAATAACAATCGGACTGTTGAAGCACATTTACATCAATCAAAAATTAATTGTTACAAAAAACTGTATGAAAAGTAAATTTGAATAAACTATTGTTAATTAAATAATAATTCTTGACTGATATAAATTTACTTTAACAATCTTTGATAGCTATTTTTTCTAAAAAAAAATACTCTCCTAGATTATTTTTGCAATAGGGAGTAGGTTTTAAATCCTCGTTTACTTTCATAGTTAGTTCAATACCTTTCGGCTATTTGGTCCTCCATTCTTATTATTATAAGCTTAATAGTTTTGACGATGTTAACGAAGTGCTACTTTACAATAATCAAAATTAGCCTAAATTTGTTGAATGATGACATCTGAATTTCACAGTTCAGACGATCTTGCAGGTAAGCAGAAAACTCCTACCAAATAAACTAATAATATATTATCTTTATGATATATTTAAATCAGCTTCGATGCTGTAGATTGGCACCATCTTATCTAATCTAAATATTTTAGTAAATGAGCATACTGACTCCTAAATCATAGATTCAAAATATCTAAAATTATAAACTCATCTTTTGTGTAATATTTTTTAACTTTTAAAAATAATGTAATATGACTTCCATTAATAATAAAAATTAACTTTAACCATTAGTTCACAATAAAATATCAAAAAAGGATGTCAAAAATTACCAAAAAAAACCTAAAAATAAAAAATATAGTAAATAATCCAAAAATTACTGAAAATGACTAAAAAAATTTTTTGGTCATTTTTTATAATGTTTAAGTCCTTTTTTGTCATTTTTTTATCAACTAATGATTAAAATTAACTTTTGTTAATGTCAAGAGTCAAATTGCACTATTTTTAAAAATTAAAAGATATTACACAAAAAATGAATTTAGAGTCCTAAATATTTATGAACCAGTTTATTTGCTAATTTACCTTAGATATTTTATCAAACAAATAGTATTGAATTATCAAAATGTAAAGGTGGGTGATAGTAGTTATGCAAGTGCACGGATTTGCAAATATTTGTGAATTAACCTTAAGAGTGAGTGACACAAGAGTAGCAAGAAAAATTTAGGTTGATGACCAATCTAATAAATCCATATGGATCAATCTTAGTGATTATGGTTGATTTCAAACAATCTTGAGGTCGTTTCACATGGCATTTACCACATAAGAGGGAATCTCTGATAAAAACATGACAAATATATGCTTAGAGTCATCGAAGAAATTTTTATGCATATCATATTTTAATAAAAAAATTGATAGTAAAAGTATTTAAAAATTAAGTCAGCGAAACCCAACTTGCTTTCTCACGCATTTACATAAACTTAATTAATATTAGAGGAAGAAAGTGTCAGAGAAGAATAAAAAAATTGCAGGAAAGAAAAAACCGTGACATTTCATGTGGTTGATAACTTAACTATGATACTTACTCCTTCTCAAATTATAAGACAAATTGAAACAAAACTACTCATACCAATAAAAATTAATAATGACACTTTACAAATTTACATTTTTAAAACAAAAATATAAACTTTTAAAAATATACTTTATTTAATATACTACATCCAAACCACAATATAAAACATTGATAATTAATTCTCACAATTTTAGAAAAAATGCTAGTTGAAACTTTAATTTCTTAAAAAAAAAATACATTTTTTCAATTATACCCTCATTAAATATCATATAACCTTGATAATGATAATTAAAATTCCATTGCATCATTTTTCTCAAAAAGTTTCCAAATACCTTATATTTTGAATTAAGCAAGACTTCTAAAAGATGCCCAATATTGTGGCCTGGAGGGAGTAACTTTAAATTTAAGCTTAACCATTATACTACAATCATTTCAATTTTCTATTCGTTTGAAGGGTAATATTTGAAAAACATTATTAATAAAACTTTATTTTTATCAAATTGTCTTATATTTTGGAACAATATACTTTCAAAATTGCCTTATAATTTTAGGTAGAGAAAGTAACTGAGAAGATCATTTTGATTGGCTAATCCTATCTTCCCCTCTTCCTTCTTCAATTTCCATTTCTCTCATGATTCTCAAACAAGTAACAACTAGAGGAAAATCTGTGCTCATAAGAAAAAAAAATGATTTATTTACCTAATATCATTGTTAGATCACTTTGTGCAACGAAATACAAGACTGTATAACATTTTCCTACAAAGTTGACTGATTGAGCTAGTGGGTACACCAGATCCTCTTTCTGGTTAGACTAATCATATTTAAGTACATTAATTAACAACTCTGTTCACTCATGAGAAGGCCAAAAGACAACTATAATAAAAAATCAAAAAATGAGATTACTAGCAGGCTATTATTAGCTTTATATATACCTGCACTTTGGACCAGTGTTGAATCACATAACGCAAGGTAACTCCATTCCACAAAGTCAGAGACAACAATGGAGATTTCCAACCTCCCTGGAAAGTCATGTTGCTTATGGCTCTTATTCAATCTACTCACTGTCATTACTTGGCTTGACTCTTTTGCAGCTGCAGAGACTCACTACCATGAATTTGTTGTAAGTTTTAGCCGCATGGTCATAAAGTAGTTATTACAGATCATATAATATTATTATGATGAATCAAGTTACTGATCAGCATATATAATAACTTCAAAAATCGATCGAAATAGATTCAAACCACGCCGACAACGAGGGTGTGCAGAACCGTCAACATAATCACTGTCAACGGGCAACTTCCGGGGCCGACTGTGGAGGCTAGAAATGGAGATTCACTTGCTATCAGAGTAGTAAATGCTGCAAAATACAACGTTACTATCCACTGGTAATCAATATCACATTATCACATTCATCTTGACAAATTTATCCTGAACAACTACAGGGAAAAGCATTGGCTCATCATGCTTGATATTTGATAATATATTCCTCATAATCTGATATGCTTTTAGGCATGGCCTTCGAATGCTGCGAAATCCATGGGCAGATGGACCTGGTTATGTGACTCAGTGTCCCATACAACCGGGGGCGAGTTACACATACCGCTTTACCATCATTAATCAAGAAGGCACATTATTTTGGCATGCTCATGTTGGATTCCTCAGAGCCACTCTCTATGGAGCTATCATAATCTACCCCAGATTGGGCTCTCATTATCCATTCCCAATGCCTAGGAGAGAATTTCCCATTCTTCTTGGTACACCTCTATAATATGTTTTCTTAGACAGCTATGCTCTAATCTCACATTTTGCCTTTGCAATGTAATTGAAGTTTATGATCAACAGTGAAATCTTAAAATACTATTGAGCATGACAGACTATTTCTTATGATGAACAGCGGAATGGTTTGACAGAGATCCAGTGAGTCTCTTAAGGATGACACAATTTACAGGAGCACCTCCAAATGTATCTATTGCATACACAATCAATGGTCAACCTGGAGATTTCTACAGATGCTCCAGCCAAGGTTTGAAATCATTATCGAATCACAACACTACAACATAGATTAAAATTCTCTCAGGTTGAAAAGGATTAAGAATGACAGACCTGTAACATATGAAAAAAAACATTATGCAGATACAGTACGTGTACCAGTAGAAGCTGGGGAGACAATTCTCTTGCGAATAATCAACAGTGCACTTGAACAAGAACTCTTCTTTTCAGTTGCCAACCATAGGATGACTGTTGTTGGCACTGATGCAACTTACACCAAGCCTTTCACCACAAGAGTCATCATGATAGGACCAGGCCAGACATACGATGTCCTCCTCACTGCTGATCAAATCCCAGGTCGTTACTACATGGCAGCACGAGCTTATGAAACAGCCCAAAATGCTCCTTTTGACAATACCACCCCCACCGCAATCCTTGAATACAAATCTGTTGGCTGCGGCAACAATAATGGACAGCTCTCAAGACCATTATTGGCAGCTCTTCCAGCTTTCAATGATACATCAACTGCAACTGCATTCACCAATGGAATCAGGGGCCTTTCCCAGAATACTGTGTTTACAAATGTTGATGTGAATCTGAATTTTGTAGTTGGGTTAGGATTAATCAATTGCACAAATCCTAATAGTCCCCGTTGTCAAGGACCGAATGGAACTCGCTTCACAGCCAGCGTGAACAATGTTTCTTTGGTACTGCCAAGAACCTCCTCCTTAATGCAAGCATATTATCAAGGTATACCTGGTGTCTTCACCACAGACTTTCCTCCTGTTCCTCCTCTGCAATTCAATTATACTGGGAATGTGCCCCGAGGCCTATGGACGCCTTCCCGGGGAACTAAGCTCTACAAGTTGAAGTATGGTTCCAGGGTGCAAATTGTTTTCCAGGACACAAGTATAGTGACAACTGAGGACCATCCACTCCATCTTCATGGATACGACTTCTTTGTAGTTGGTTCAGGTTTTGGCAATTTCAACCCAGCAACAGATCCTGCGAATTTCAACCTTGTTGATCCACCTCAAAGGAACACCATAGGAAACCCTCCAGGAGGATGGGTAGCTATTCGTTTTGTAGCTGATAATCCAGGTAATATAATATGCTACTGAAAAAAAATCATTAGTCATACTGATACAACTTGTGTTAAAAAATACATAACTAATCATATGATTTTCAATTATTGGTGCAAAACAGGAATTTGGTTCATGCATTGTCACAAAGATTCACATCTATTTTGGGGTTTTGCAATGGCATTCTTGGTAGAGAATGGAGTTGGACCATCACAGACAGTAATACCACCACCAGCAGATCTGCCCCCATGTTAAGATAAAGAACACATCATTAGTAATAAATTTTATGTTCATGAAATATTGGTCCGTTGTGTTGTGAATTATTCAAATAGTTTTCCAATAGTCAGTGTGCTTTGTGCGCTCTTTCCAAGTCCAGACTAGCATGATGCTCAATTGAGTAGATTGTTAGCTGTCTCATTGACTTTAAGGCTCTTGTGAGACATAAAAGAGGAATGCTTTCTTATTATTGGTGCTATCAATCCTTTTGTTCAAGAAAAGAATTTTCTTTCACAAACCGGAAAAAAAAAAAAAAGACATGTTCCATTCTAACAAGCTAATAGCACTTCCAAGGGTCAAAGCTGCAGACATTATTTCCCATTTTGGAGACCTATTAATAAGCAGATCAAACTAATCACTAGTAGAGTGACTATTAAAACTTACTATTCGGGTCCTTCATATAAGATGAATTTAACTAACTTCACGATTATTAAGGAATGGTAGTTATATCTTTAAAATTATTAAAAACAATATGCACTTTCTAGAAATTCAAATGAATTTATATATAAACAAGGGATAAAATTAGAAGGAAAGAAACATTAATATAAACTTTGTCTTATATTAAGGGCAAAACAAGGGAAAAAAAAATCAAACTTCACCTTATATTAAAGAAAGGAGGGAGTATGTCCAACATGCTTATATGCTTGTTCATAATTAATAGGGCCTAACAATCTATTTGGTCAGCCAAAGAATTTCTCTTCCATTTATCCTTCTTCTTTAGTGGCAGAATGGTCCACATAAGCAAGAGGAGCACCCAGATGATTTCAGCAACAAACCCATAACTAGTGTATACCTAGCCTGATTGAGTTCGGTTATGGAGATCTATTACAAAATCAAACACATCACAAGACCATTTTAATTGGGTTAATTAAATCAGCTGGATGCAATGACAGGATCATAATTTATTAGATACAATATGTCATTTGTATGACAACTTCAACCAATTTATGTCATGGTTTAGCATATGGATGTGGAATTGCCAGAAAAGTTCGGACAATAAGCATGGATGATTATTTGATTGCTGATGATGAAGACTTGGTAGTATGAGATACCAAATCCCACATCCCATGTTGAGTAATATGGGATGCTTAGTTAGGTCTCCATCTACTCTAAAGCTAGCTATTGAGATGGGAAAACCAACCCATATAATACTCAATTGAGCATTTCATATACCATCAGTAATCAACTAATCATTCAAGCTTACTATGCGAACTTTTCTAGCAATTCCACATCCACATATGCTAAACCTTAACATAAATTGGTTGAAGCACTATATGGAACATCATCTTCGGGTCTTCCTCTGAACATTTCTTCACCTGAATTTTCCACTACGGAGATGTGTTCGAATAGAGTGAAACTATCACCATTATCTGCCATTTTTCTGCATGAGTGCAGATTTTTCATGGTTTACCATAAAAATTACCCCCCTATGATATAGATTTTATACTATAGACGTGAAACAGACAAGTATACCTACTTTTCAACACTTCAGTAACCTTTTTTTTCTTTTGGATCATATTCTACAATAGTAGCTTATGAGAACGTGTAGAAGTTCAGGAACTAAGAACTAATGTTTCTGTACGAATAATAGAGGACATTTTTGTTCTGAACATAACAGTTGAGAATCAAGGAACTTTAATTCACAGCTGGAACAAGAAGACGAAGTATTCATGTGAATCCCCTATTCATAATGCGTTAGTAAAAAATGCAATCAAGAGTCTTGACTGTCTCTAGGGTGGCTCTCTGCTTTGTTCGCTCATAATCCTAAAACAGTCTGAACTATCCTATTTGAATCATACATATACTAGATAAAGATTGTTTCATATGATAAGCAATAGAAATCTTTATTAAAATATGAAATCAGAATCTAACTTCATAAATTGGCAAAGATGAAGGGAAATTTTTAGTAGGAGATGAGCAAAAATCTTAAACTCATACAACTAATAAGCTAAAGAAGAATCTCCACTGATAAAAATAATGATTTTATTTCCAAATGCTTTCTACATGGAATGTGCCTCAATATTTATAGACGGAAAGATAACTAATAATTCCTAAAGTACTCCCATTAATCCATAACTAAGATAATGGGGAATAACTACCTAAATATAAATAAATAAATATAAATACCAATTTAGTCTCTATGTACCATAACCCACTACTCCTAAACTTAAGGGCCACTCCACAGAATAGAAAAATAATCTAAATAATATTATTAAAAAAATATCTAAAATAATTTAGAATGATATTTATGCCTAATATTTTCCCAACTTCCCAAATCATGATGGGGACTCCATCAATACTCCGCCCTTAGAAATTCGCCTTGTCCTCAAGGCGAGAAAGAGACAATAGCTTTGCTTTTCTTGTATGTCTGGAGGTTTAAGTAGAAGCGATAGGAAGACAATATAAGAGCATATATCAGCACCATGGATTTGAATTCCAAAAGCATAGGTGGGTTGAACAAGAGATTGAGTCAATAATCGAAGTGTCAAGGAGAAAACAATACACGGACCCACTATTCCTAAGAATCAGATCAGAATGGCATCGCAAGCTTGGTTGAAGCTTTATCATTGATGCTGGAGATTTTCCAAAGATGGCCATGAAGGAGATACCAACCTGCTCACGCCCTTTTTGTTCGCCGATCCCCTTTAAACCTGAAACAGGATGGCCTTCAACATCAATCTCCAGGTTAGAAAAGGAGTTCGACTTGCAAAGATGGCCTAACATGAAGGTGGTCTGGCATCTGAAGCAGGGACATGTGTCATGCTTTTATTGCTTTTCAGTCTTTGATGAAGATTGCAGAAGGTTTGGGGTCAAAGAAGACAATTTGGAGGAGTGAGATGATGCCTGCAATGTTGGACCCCGGAAGTCACATGTGCCTGTGAGTAATGTAGAAGTTGTCAAAACTTTACTTTAACGAGGTTGAAGGGCAGCTTTGGGCCCACAAAGATTTTTGGCTTTTATCTCATACTCAAGGGCCAAGCTTATTGCTTGATAAACTGCTTTAGGCTTATGATTTCTCACCTCAGATTTTAACTCCTCCTTTAAGCCGTTTGTGAAGACACCCAAGAAGCAATGTTCTAGCCAATTTTTGACTCGTGTAGGGCGCTTAGCAAACACTTAGCAGTATTCTTGGACACTTCCCTCTTGTTTGATGCTACAGAGATATTCATCCAAATTTTGAAATTCTGCAAAGCCATAATTTTCAAGAAACACCTCCACTGATTCATCCCAATAGAGGATTGTATGCTCCATGTTGACGGAAGTGAAGAAATCATAGTTCCTCAATGCAATATCCACTTTGAAGTCTTAAGATGTGTGATAATATCGGAAATAATTTTCAGCTTTCAAAATCCATGGCTTTGGATCTCCACCATCATACTTGGGAAATGTGTGCTAGAAGATGGATGATAATAGGATGGGATGGGCAGTGAAATGTGGGTTTGTGAAGAAGGCATGATAGGTACCATCTTTGGATCGAACAGCTCAAATACCAAATGATTGGAACAGAAAAATAAGCATAGAAATCTTTATTAAAATACAAAATCAGAATTTAACTTCATAAATTAATAAAGATGAAGGAAAATCTGTAGTAAGAGATGAGCAAGAATCTTAAACTCATATAAGTAATAAAGCCAAAGAAAAATCTCCATTGATAAAAATTATGATTTTATTTCCACATGCTTTCTCTATGATATATGCCTCAATATTTATAGATAGAAAAATAACTAATAATTCCTAAAACTACTCCCATTAATCCATAACTAAGTTAATGGGGAATAACTACCTAAAATATAAATACTAACTTAATCTCCAAGCACCCTAACCCACTACTCCTAAACTTAAGGGCTACTCAACAAAATAGAAAAATAATCTAAATAATATCATTAAACAAAAAATATCTAAAATAATTTAGAATGAAATTTATGCCTAATATTTTTCTAACTTCCCAAATCATCCATTATCCCATAATGTTTGGAACTCTATCACAGCAGCAGAAGATTTAATCTCATCACTGATCCGTATCATGTACCTGCCACTCTACATTAATAAACTCATGACAATCCTCACATTTTGAAACTGATAACAGTTAATCTTGTTCTCAAAGGTAATATGGACAAGGAAAAATTCCATATATGCAAATATGAATCATCAAAACATTTCTGACTGTAATCTGTATCTCAATTAACACTTCAGAGATTTAAAAAAAAAGGGTGATCACCAAACGAGAATCATCACAAATTTTAATCTCGTCACAATTCTTGTGCAATCTCCAACTTATGTGACTAAAAATACAATCATTTGTTTACCTCTAATAGCATACATCAATTTGCAGTCTGTGTTGGTGCCTATAACTTGTAACACAGTTTGAGGCTTGATTCAAAGCCATAACCAGCTTCAGCCCTTCCCAGTCCTTTTTCCTTTGAATGATTCCCTGTGCTTTATTCAAGATTCAACATGCAGCTCGATGATGTTTTCTCCAATCATTAATATGGGAATCACAGACACATCTTTCAATTTTCTTGCTTTAGAATTGCATACAATGCCCATGTGGTTTCAACTGATTGAATCAACTTAAAAGTGTTCCCCACAATACCGAGGTTGGTTTGAACCATCACTGTCAGCTTCATCTACGAGATAAATACATGCTGGGAGATAAACCACAGAACAAAAATGCACCACCTCAGGTATCATGTGATTGTCATGCTTTATTAACTTTAGGAATTCCAGGTTTTACTACCAAAGCTGCTTTACTACAAGAAGTTAAGACCCATATGAAGGTTATCTTCACTGTGACAGAACTGATCACCTGTCAATTTGTACAGAGAAATGGCATGCTCGGTGTTCAAGCAAGTCAATCTAACTCAGATCTTTTAAAAAAAAAAAAAATTGGGACAAAGTATGCTGGAGATCACAGCATTATACATCCAAAAGTCCTTATAATGATCGTCCATATCAGAAACCCTCCTGTGCAGATCATAAAATAAGATTTTTTTTCCTATTGAATGCCAACACACCCTGCTTTCATGTCCATTAGAATTTTCCTCTACTGAAACGGTTATTGGTAAATTAGAAGGACAATTATGAATTCATTGACCAGCATCTACTAGCCAGTACAATCAATTTGCCTGAAGTTGAAGATAGTATGCAGAATATGGCTTAACAAGGTGGCATGTTTCTCCCTCTCGTCTCTGAACATTATGTGCTAATCACCAGTTCATTCCTGCCAACACTTAATTAGCCCTAACTCCTTCATGAAATTTGTATCAATAGATAATCTAAGATTTAATAAATTATAATCCAAGGGTAGCAGCATGGCACAAGATTCTTAGATCTTATGGTCCAAAAAGATATAATTTAATCATGATCTACCAATAATCAAGACAGGAACACTTGCCTTCCTTAAAATGGTGAAACCGGCTGGCATCCCTAACCACTATCTCTCTCTGAAACACTTTGGATATAATCTTGCTCACCTCATGACAATCCTCGCAAATTCTCAAGTTCTTAACAATTCTGATGCAATCGCCAACTTCTGTTACCAAAATACCAAAAGCAATTGCTAGTCTCTCACTGTGCACTTGAATTGCATTTTCTTTTTCTTCCTCCTCAATATCATGCAACACTGGTGAAAATATTTGGTGAGTAACCATCTTCAACTATTCTCATTCCTATTGTTTGCAGCATTTTATAAATGTCAGAAGAACACTCGTGTTCTCTGTCTCCTGCAACAAATTGATGAACTCTACCCTGGCTCTCAATCAGGCTACAACCCGCAACTTTTTGGTGTTTCTGTCAATCATAACCTACGAACTCTAACAACATCTTCCCATTTTCTGGCTTTTGCATATATTCCAGCCAACTGTACATAATGCCCATCATGTGTTGGTTCCAGATGTATCAACTTATTTCCAATCTTCTCTCCCATTTCCACTAATCCATATATCTTACAAGCACCTAGTAGTGTTGCCCACAATACAGGGTCTGGCGGAGTTGCCATTGTCTCAATCAAGTGAAAGGCTTCATCTATTAATCCACTACGAGCAAAAAGATCAACCATGCACCCATAGTGCTCCATCTCTGGTTGAATGCCATATTCGTCTATCATTGATTTAAAGTATTCTCTACCCTCATTAACAAGACCAGCTCTGCTACAAGCATTTAGAACCCCAATGAAAGTAATGTTGGTGGGATAGAAACTTTCACTTATAAACTTTTGAAAGAGTGCAAGTGCATCCTTTGCATGACCATGTGAAGCCAAGCCACAAATCATGACATTCCAAGTCCATTTATCCTTCCTGGGCATATCATTGAACAATAATATTGACTTTTCAATGCAACCACACTTTGCATACATGTCAATTAGTGCTGTTCCTATGGGAACAGTTATTGGGAAATTCAAGGATTCAATGGTAGAATGAATGAATTGACCATACCCAAGCAAACCCAATTGGGCTGAAGCTGAAATCACCATAACCAATATTGCCTCATTAGGTCTTATGCTTCTCACTCTCATTTCTTTAAAGCACTCCAGCCCTTGTTCCAACAGTCCATTTTGAACATATCCCTTGATCATTGTACTCCATGAGATGACATCTTTCTCCAGCATTTTTCCAAACAACTGTTCCGCAACATTTATCTGTCCATCTCTCATCATAGCTGCCAACATTGAGTTCCAAGTGACCACATCTCTGCAGCGGACATCTTCCTCAAATACCCTTTTTGAGCATTCAACTCTAGAACAAGAACAGTACAGGTGAATCAAGGCATTTCGAATGAACAAATCTTCTCCAAAACCAAGTTTGATCACATGGGCGTGAATCTGAACCCCTTCATTTATAGCCAAAGCCTTGCTACAAGCTTGCAACACAAAGGTGAAAGTGTGCTTATTGGGCTTCAAGCACCTACGTTGCAATGATGAGTATAAAGCAATGGAATCATAAGGTGACTTCCCTTTGGCAAGGCATCTAATCATGTTATTGAAGGTGAAGACACTAGGGAAGCTCATTGTGTGCAAGATTGTGGAGCAATAGTCCAAGGGAATCGATGAGGACAAAGAAAGATAAGCAAGAAGATGACCCATGAAGCGGACATAGCCAAAGATGCCTGAGACAATGATGCACGCATGGGCTTGCTTGATTTGACTCAATGAAGGTTGACGCGGGAGATAACGAAGAGGCCTTGAATGAGAAATAGGTTGGGAACTTGAAATCTGTTTACATAGGTAAAGAAGGTGGTTGATTTTATTTTCAAGCATAAAGAGAATTCTCTGATCAAAATAATGTCCTGCAGCAAACCAGAAATTTCAACTGTAAAACAGATCTACAAAACAAAAACAAAAAAAGTAAAATAAAATTTGTAATGTAATCCGGAACATTACTTTGTAAACCAATGGTTTAACACATGTCAGGATTTTCAAAGAAATTCAGAATTTTGAGCCAAAAGAAAGTATTATAGCCAACCTAGAATATCCCATATCAATGAGAAATTTGCTATTAATATAGAACTTCTTAACAATAATCAAAATTTAAACTGCAAGCCTGAAGTTTTTGTGAGAACAAAAAAAACCAGAATTTTAGAAACATTAACCAAATTCATACAAGTTTATACAAAGATAAAACCCGCAAGAGCTATTGCAATAAACATATATAAAACTAAGCTTAAAAGCTTTCTAACCTAAAGCAAAATGAATAAACAGTGATAACCATAGAAAGACAAGTATAACCAAAACTTGCAATCTATATCTGCAGCAATCTTAAACCAACTGAAGGTAGGATGACTGCATTAAAGTCATGTTAACAAAATTCATTTGACTTCTTTAAGCAATCATTTTTTCATGCATTGCATTTTAAAAAGTTCAAACTACATCTACCATTATATTGGAAATCATTTTGCGCTAAAAACCGAATTACTGAAGATCTATTATCAGTAAATCCAATTCAGCACCAAGTATTGCAAACCAATAAGACCAATTCAGTCAAGCAATTTTCTCAAAACCATCTCACTCAAACATTAGATTGCACAAATTAAACAGAAACCTTAATCAATAAAAGCCATGAGAAATTGTTGGCCATTCACCAACCCACAAATTATATGATAATGAAGAATTTGAAAAGGATTTGTCCACACATAGGCAGACCTATACCACACTCACCGAAATCTTTGAAATATGCATGGTTGATATAATACCCTTTTAATTTTTGTTCCAAATACTTTGACACAACTCGAGCCATGTCACTTACAAGATCATACATCACAAACACCTTGAGAATTTTCCACAGTTGAGATAATATAAAAGCATTTACGAACAGAATGCCAATACACAACAAACCCCAACATTTCAAAACAACACAACCAAATCGTACAAGTCACTAGTGATCAAAATGAAGAGGGAGGAAGTATAATAGCCAATTACACACCATTCAAGCAAAAACTTGTACAACAAATAAATAAATAAACTCAATATGTAAATATTCCAAAATTTAAAAGTGTCAATATTCAACGATTACACAACCAGATTCGAAGCCAAATTAAAATGAAAAATTTAAAACAGAGAAGAAAAGCCACGCAGGGAACAGATGATGTGCGATCTAGATTCAAAGCCAAATTGAACAAATCACTCTGACCACATTTTGGGAGTAGAAAAAACCTCAGGGTTCAAGCCTTCTTCACTGCTTGCCCAAGGAAAACCACGCTGGTCTGACAACAGTGGACGGTGTCTAACGGAGTGTGGAATGCTCGTTCATCAATGGTGGGATCTCCACTGTTTTGGAACTCTCGTCAATGCTTTGTCCAATGGAGTGAAGATTCTTGTTAAAATTTATAATAAAAACCATTTTTTATCATGGGTGGATAAAAATATTGTTACAATAAAAAATAAAAATTGTATAGGAAAAATTATAAAATTTGTTATAACTTTAATAAATTTGGGTTGTAAAATTTCATTTTGTACTAATATTAAAAATTTCTCATAACTTCATGAATCTAGGTGAAAAGTGATAATTTTTATGAAGTTTAAGTTACTATAATTTTATTACTCTGCAACAGTCGAACAATTTTCTTATAAGTTTTAGAAACAAAGAAGTAACTGCAGAAAAAGAATATACTTATGACTTTCTTATAAGGTCACCCATGCATACAACTTAAGGCTAGAAAGTAGTAAAAACAAAAGAATCTAAAATTAGTAATAACAATTCTAAAACTCTCTAAATAATGGTTTGGGAATTATATTAAAGATTTCTTTCTCAAGCTTCCAGACTCAATCTTATCAAATCTGCTCTACGTCCCCATCTTGTATTTACCACCTATCTCGAATCCATCTTCCTAAATATGTAAGGAAGAAAATTGACAGCATTTGCTACAATTTTTTTTTTCTCGGATGTAAATGAAGGCAAGAAGTCTATGCACCTTGCAAATTGGTAATTCTAACGTAGAGACTTAACAAGCCTACATGATATAAAAATTAAATTAAAACTGTAATGAATCCATATAAAAATTATTTAAATAAATTCAAACTATTGGAATAATCCAACACATTTGTACTCAGATCAATGTACATGTTTTTTCTTTTTTCTTTTTTTTTTTTAATGAGAAGACCTAAAGAAGCTTGGTAAACTATGGTATTGCACCTAAATTTTGTTCTAAATTTTTCAACGACATGAAAATATGAGCCTAAAAGTACTTTCAAATATGTCAATGGTAGCAAATGCCAGCAAAAAATATAGTTTTTTGGGGCAAAAGTGTTACTCCCTCCATTAAAAAAATACATGGCATTTTTAATCCTACACCCCCCCAATAAGTTAGTTAATTATTTTTAAACTAACACCATCTTTCCATATCTGCCCTTATTTAATAAGATGTCTCACTTAAAAGTGAATGGTTAAATGGTTTATTTATTAAGGATATTTTTGACCAAAAAAAAAAACTCACTTGTTATACATTGAAAAACTAAAAATTCCTTAAATTTTATAACGGGGGAGTTTTTTTTTAGCTAAATACAGACACACACACACACACACACACCCACACACACACAAAATAAGATCAGTCAGGAGGGCTTAGCCAATAGAAAGAAAAACAAACAAAAAAGTAACCTAATTGTTGCGTGATATTAGAAACTAAAATATCCCCCCCCCTGCTGGACTGAAACCTGATCGAGAGAAATTTAGCAACAAATGTTGGACTAGAGACCCCCACTTGGGTCTGACGAAGATGTGGATTGTTCATAACATTCTGGTTCCAAATGAACGGCAAAGCAGTTCTTAATTCCTCCAATGCAGCTCTAAGTCTACCTCTGATGATTGGGTAATGTGCCATTCATTCCTCGAAAGACAGACCTTGAAATCTGATAATTACTTCACACACAAATAATCTTCTTGCTCTTATCCTCCACCTCCTTCGTTTATCCAATAAAATCATCCATCCAATAATTATTTGTGGAGGTAGTAAATTCATAGGTCTACCAACGCTCTTTCTATCTTTGTCTCTAGCTTCCTTAAGCCAAACAATATTGCTAAGAAAACCCATTTTGAGAATGCTAGAGCTTTTGCTGGTACCCTTGCCATCCTGATGTAGTTTTTTATGTCGAATAAATCAAACACTCTATACAGAAGCGAGCCAACTTGCAACTTGTTCTAGCCAAGCGGTTACTAATATTCCATTAACAAAGGAACAGTGAAATCTAATAGAGCAAGCAAACCAAATTAATCTCACCCAATCACAGTGTAAGAATAAATGATACCTGAGTTTTCTCCCTCTCTTTGCGAAATAAGCAGATAGTGTCAGGCTGCAAATGGTGTTCTTTTATTAAAAAAAAAAAATTAGCTTTTGTTGGCGGTACATCTCTACTTGCCTTCCAAAAGAACAATTTATCTGTAACATTAACAAAGAAGGCGGCACATGGAAGCGGCTTGGGAAAAATCGTAAGTTCCGATTGTTCATAACTTGCTGATGGATTTAAGAAAAAATGATATCTAGTACATGTTAAGCAAGAAAATACATCATGTACCAATCTTGCAAGACGATTGATAAGTAACAACACAATTTTGAACACGTGAATGCATTACATATACACAATAGAAGAATATAATTTAATTGAGCATGGATATAGTCATAGAGAGCCAAAATTTCAACACCCAGAGCTTCAATCAAAAATAAGAAACGCGAACGCGAACCAGACTAAGAAGCAGACAGCAAAAATGAAACCAGAATAAGAAGCAGACAACAAAAATGAAACCAGAATAAGAAGCATATACCAACGCAAACACCAACCAGAATAAGAAGCAGACAGCAAAAATCGAACCAAAATAAGAAGCAAACAACAAAAATCAAACACGAATAAGAAGCAGACACGAAATCGAACCTTGATCTGAAGTTATAAATGGCGAATGCAAAGACCAGAGAGAATGCTAACAGTAATGTGAACTTCGAAGCTTCAGCCTTCAGATTGGTATGGAGGAAGGAAGGAGCCGCCGCGCTCTGCTCACTGAACTCGGAAGCTTCAAATTGTCGTCGAAGAACAAGCTAAGGACTGACTAGGTGACGGTGTTTCGGTCGAGTGCATTTGTCAAAATTTATTGGGAAAATATAAACCAAGGACGGGGGAGGAAATTTGGTTCACAATAGATTTTAAATTTTCGCTCATTTGGTTCTGAAAAGAAATTAACTTTTTACATAAAACTAGCATTTACTACCCGTGCGATGCACGGGAAGCAAATAATAAGCCAAACATTATTGTAAAAATACTTTCATAAAAGATAATGTCTTCAGCGACAAGCAACAATGAAAATTCAAATGGCAAAATGATAAACAATTGTATAATACATACATTATAAATCCATAGCTTTTGGAAACATGATAAGGTCTAATCTCCCAAGTTTTTAAAGATTTCTGTATACACCACATTTTTTGTTGTTGTTGATCCAACCTTTTCTTCATCATGTAATAAAATCTTGAGTCCATCAATGCTTTTTACCCTTGACAATGCCACATATAATTGTCCATGAGTGAAAACTGGTTTAGTTAGGTATAACCCAACATGACGCAATGATTGACCTTGGGATTTATTTATAGTCATTGCAAATGATAGAATCACTGGGAATTGTCTTCGTCGCATGCGAAATGGCCATCTACTTTCTGATGGATTCATGTCCATCCTATGAATTAAAACTTTTTGATGTTGCCTTGAACCATTCAATGTTATGCCCTCAATAACATTTTTCCCTAGCCGAGTAATGCGCAACCGTGTACCATTGCATAGACCAGACGCTTGGTCAATATTCCTCAATAGCATTATAGGTGCTCCAACCTTCAAAGAAAGAATATGTGGTGGTAATCCAGAGCAATTAATTGTGTTGAGAAACTCAGTTGTATACAAATCATCAAATGAATCGTTGTCTTCTGTAGACTTGCATACAGAGTCAGAACTAAAATATTCCATTGCTTCACCAGGTAGCAACGAACACATATAGTTATTAACTTCACTCACACTTTCAATAGTTGGAGCTAAAATTGCTCTATCGTTAAAGTATGCTATGTCTTCAAAATTGATAAGTAAATTTGGATAAGTGGAAGACACGATGGCATTCATAGGATCTTTTGAATTACAGATAAGCAAATTGTGAGGAATATCAATATTTGTTGTACCATCATGTGGTTGTCCCAGTTTCCCATCACCTACGTCTAACAACCACTTGCTAAATTTTTCCAAAGCATTGCTATCGGTATTCATAGAAGATGATGATAACCGCATATTCCTTGTTAGTTTATATATTTTGCAATGATCCCATAAAGGTGAAGAACTAATACATGCATTAACAATGGTTGCTCTTGTTCCTTTAGGTATGACAGGAAGTATTTGACGGAAATCGCCACCCATAAGAATACACTTTCCACCAAAAGTATCATTTGAATGCATAATATCCTTTAATGTCCTATCAAAAGCTTCTATGCAATACCGTTGAACCATTGGTGCCTCATCCCAAATAATCAATCTAGTGCATTGAATTAAACGTGCCAAGGGAGAGTTTTGTTTAATACAACAAACAGAATCCTCTGTTATTTGGATAGGAATGGCAAACCTGGAATGCGCTGTCCTTCCAGAAGGCAATAAAGTAGCAGCAATGCCACTTGATGCAACAGTTAGGACAATCTCTCCTTTCGCACGAAGTGATGAAGACAAAGCATTCCATAAGAAAGTCTTTCCAGTTCCCCCGTAACCATAGACAAAGAAAAAACCACCATAGGGGGAGTAAACTGATGACATGACATTGTCAAAGACATGTTTTTGCTCAGAGTTAAGAGATTTTACCAACTTTGTAGCTTCTATACCCAAGGCTTGACGATCATAGTTTAATTCCTGTAGCATTAAATGATTTGTGACATCAAAGTTTGATGTTACTACTGGCAATGGAAGTGACGAAAAATCTTGCAATGACTTGCCATTACTATGAAGAAGTGAATCAATCTCACGAAGTGCAGCTTCTTCCTTTGCAACCAGTGGCACATTAATATCTACAATAATTAATAAGGTCAATTATAAGCATTAACTTATGTTGACAATGCAAATAATAAAAGATTATTTAGATTTGCAATTTACCTGACAAGGTTGGATCATTTCGTGGGATGTATAATAAATCTTCAGACAATATCTCAGAAGTATTACTCCATACAAAATCCGGCCGACTCAAGCATGAGCAAAGTAGCATAGTGACAAACATCCTTCTCAACTGAACTCCCGAAGCCCAAACTGAAGCCTCCCTAATTGCATTGATGTACTCCCTATCATCATCCAATAAACCTAGTGCAAAGCAAGCATCTTTGAAGGTTGGATATATAACACCATTAACCGTCTTAATATCATCAAATGAAGTAGGGCCCTTGACTTTTGTCAATAGTATTCTAAGGAAGTAAAGTTCTCCTGATGATGGTGACACGTGAGTTATTCTACCTACTGCAAAACCTCTTTTTCTTTCTTTCCAAGCTCTTTTATTCCTTTCATAGACATAATGATGTGGGAATTCAGAATATGTAAGAGTTTTGGCAAGATCTTGGTTACCATTCATTTCCATCCAAGCTAAAAATTGTGATTCACATACTCTTGGCTTATCTAACAACTCTGCCACGTCGTCTGTATTTGAGTAAACTATAGGTTGCTGATTTGGTAAATGAAAACTTAGTCTTTCAACAGAAGGATGTCTGTGGTGGATGTCAAATCCAAATATACGCCAGGATCCCTCACAAGCAGAAATATATCTACAGTTATAATACTGCTGAATCTCGTCACTGTTGTCATATATTGTTGCCACCACTCTATCATTTCCTTTGCTGATGTACTTAAATAAGTACTTGATAGAAGTGGAATGATTGCATTTCTCAACATTGATATGAGCTTGAAACATGGTAAGAAGGACAGAGTTATATGGGACAACAAATCTATTGTCTAAATGAATACCCTTTACTTCAATATCTCTCCCATCATTTCTTCTTTTATATGTAGGGTATCCATCTTCATCAATCACTGTTTGGTTGTTGAATTTTTTAGGGAAATATTTACTGCATTTCTTATCCTTCATGCACGGTGACTTGGGATTGCTTGTACCACATGGACCATGCATCATAAATCTCTTGACCAAATCATACAATTTTGGCGAGGTATGCTTATCTGGGATTTCTGCAAAGATTACCCTGTCGACACCATCCGAGTCATTGATTTTATCATGCTTGTCAAGGAACAAAAGTATATGGGCATGAGGTAAACCCCTCTTCTGAAATTCAATAGTATATACCTCTGTATATAAAGAAGATATAATAAGAAGAAGTCCAAACATAGAGAGATTAAAAGCTAGAAAAAATGGAGGTAATAATTTAAAAATGAAAGTAATAAATTATAAGAAAAAATATACATTTGAATAGTCATGGAATTTTACCTGCACGTATAGTTCCAAAAATTTTCTTTTCTTTAATTGTCTTCATCATCGATTTCAACTTCAATTTGAATACCCTAGATAATATATCTGGCCGATCTGATGGAGATATAAAATTTCGATCACAAAACCTAGTAATTTCTGGCCATGCTGGATTGCAAGTGAAAGTAAGAAATATATCTGGATATCCTGCCCAACGACAAATAGCCATAGCATCTTGATAATTTTGAAGCATGTATCTTGCTCCTCCTGTAAAAGAAGATGGCAAAATAATTCGCCTTCCAGTTGCACTTGCATTTCTTTCTCCATTGATCAATGCATCTGACAACCCTTGATACAAATCAACTCTAAGCTCCTTTTGATGAGTCCTGACCCATAATAGTCTTTGTGATTCAATCATTGTATATCCATCTACAATGAACTGCTGTAATAATCTACGGGCATGAAGTAATATTGATACCTCATTTTGATGGGACATAAGTCTGTAAGAGAAGTATTCTCGCATGCTGACTTTCTTTTTCTTCTTTGTTCTAGTCAATGTTTCCTCTCGATGATCAATATCATCCCTATATCCATCCTCACCAAATGGGAATAGAATAGGATATTGAAGAGGAAGATAAGATGCATGCAATTCACTAATACGTTGAGGAGATCCTGATAATTCTTCTATGATAATATCTCTCCTACCGAATGACATGTCTATATCGCCGACGACTAATGCTGCAACTTCAGAGGCAGACGGAAGATTGTAGTTACGACCATCATGCTGCCTTGTACCAATCAAGCATAACTTCAATTCATTATAGGCATGGTTTTTGATTAGTGACGAGGCCATTCGGTATTGCTTCACAAAAGGATTGAACTCATCTAAGACATCTTTAAGAAGATGAACTATAACATGATCAATCTTCAAACCTGTATGATGGTTGCTGATATAATTGAAATGCCAATGTTAGTATTCATCAAACTTTTATTATTAAATATGATAAAAATTTGAAAAAGGAAATTACCTTACTGCAGCTATTCTATTTGTAACTTCATTTTCAGTATCATAAATGTATAGTTGTGAGTACACAGGTCTAGCTCCTTCCAAGGGTAGTAAACTTCCAATCATGTGGTAATTCATTCCAGACAATATAAAAGAATAAGGACCACCACCAGAGTTAATTGAATGGTTGATCTTTCCACCCATAGATGTAAATGAAAACATGTTGTTGTATTGTCTTATATTTGCTAAGAAATCCTTTGAATGCATAGACTTCTTGTCAAAGAATAGTCTCTCTAACATTGGTGGCGGTGGATGTATGGTTGGTAATACAACCTTGCCCTTAAGGCAACAAATTGAGAATTCCATGGTTCTTCTAAATGTGTCTTTTTTGACACGCTCATTCAACCATAGTTCAGCTCCACAAAATATGCATATCTCAGTAGGATCTCCTTCATCTATATATTCTATATATTATTGTTAATAAGTTAGTACTTATTACTCAAAGTGATGCAAGATTAGAATAAATATTGTTCTGATAAAGATTTAAAAAAAATGATATAATATATTGATAACTTATATGTTGACATAAAGGGAAACCAATTAAGATGAGTGATAAATAGAAATCATATTAAATCAAAAAAAGAAGAGGTATAAAAATACAGTGTTACAAAATGCTCATAAATAATAGTTTCTTTAAAAAATACAATTGTAGGTACCAATTAAAAATAAATATATTCATGAATATATTTGACATTATAAATATAATTGATTTTATCTATGAAAGGTTTGTGAAAGACCTTTAAATAGTGGTTGAAACATCATGTAATGAGGTGGCTACTTTTTTAATGATAGGCTAATGTATTTTGACATATTAAAAAGTTTTTATGCATATAATGGAAAGTTTATGGAGATACGCAATTTACACAATTCAAAAATACCAAAGTGTAAAATATAATGTTTATAACACATAAGCAATTAATTATAAAATTATAAGTAACAGTTCATAATATTATGATGAAGATGATAAGCATTATACCTGGTGCAATGCCTTCCTTTTGATTATCCTCAGTGTTATGATTTTGTATGGTGTCTAATTCATCTAGAAAAAATGTAAAAAAAAAAAAAGGTACAAAAAAAATAGAACTTATTCATAAAATAATATTTATATATTTATAAATTGAGATAATATATTTTTAACATATAAATCATAAAGTAATTACTTATCTAAAAATAACTTAAATAAATGGAAACATATATTACCTCCAGATTGTCCATTGGAGTGTTCGCTATCATCATGAATTTCGTCATTATTAAAATCATAATTGAATTGAAAATCTTTATATTTGATTTCAAGACCTGTAAGAAAACAATTCATGCATCATGGAAACTAATATGAAATGTTCTTGCAATAACAATGACAATAGTCTTACCTGTTGAGCGAGAAGGTTGGTCATTGATCCTAATATTATTTGGATTCATGATAACTGCAAATAATTAGGTTGACCTTGTTCATTCAATTCATTCAATGTATAAAATAATCAAGTGATGTAATAAAATATTTATTTAAACATTGAATTTACAGTGGGGATGTGACTATACCTTTTTCTGTTTTGTGCTTTCTATTACTGGATTTTCCAATTGATATTTGTGTAGTGGTTTCATTGCTAATGTTTTGGTTACCAATCTCAATAGCTTTGAACCTAGCACTCTTTCGCTGATAAACATTCTCTTCCAAATATGAACATGAAACCCAACCAAATGATGTTTCCAATTAGTTATGCAATGTAAAAGATGATGAGGAAACAGTATGTGGAGATATTGTAATAGGAAAACAAAGATATTAACTTAAACCATATGTTCACCTGCCTTCGGTATGGTCTGAAATCTTTGACATAAATTTTTTGCTACATTTGTCAAGTCCTTCAAAGCTTTTCTTTTCTGTCTAGTTTTTAACCCTTTTTTCATATCTTGTGAGAATATTGTATTTGACTGTGTACATCGAAAACTGCATTCTGGGCTGGTTAGACAAGTTGAGATATTTTGAATGGATTGAGGACTATTGCCAGGTTGCAAGTTATCTATCATCAGCAAAGACAAGATATACTTGAGACAAGCTTGAGGTATATGTGAATGCATTTTAGTGGTTACAAAATAAACATACCTGCGACAGTTTCAGAAATGATGCTTGTGCATCTATCTTCTTGTGTCTGTGTTGCTTCATTTTCTGAGAAAATGATTCTTCTCTTCCTCGGCATTATGGAAAAGTGAAACTGTTTGGGGCGTTAATCTGAAACAGGAGGAGAAATAAGCCTTGTCTGAAGCGTATGAGCATCTGTCATGTGTGAATAAAAAACAACTTGCTTCAAGAGATGCATGTAATATGTTTGTTTCCCATTTTTTTAGTTCACAGAACCCATGACGTGTGAAAGTGACAGCACTTGGTAGCATTCTGAAATTTCATGTAAAGATATATATATATATATATATTATAAAGCATGTAGTTTGCAAACTTAAAGGTGGGTCAATAGAAAAAGTGTTTTTTCCGTTTTTATGTAATTGGCTCAATAAGGTTGTCAAGTTCATAGGTCAAAGCAAGTATCCTTTCTCATTTGTCCCTTCAGTGTTTTCAATTGGGCCATCAATCCATAAAGTTTGTCCTAACTATCTACTTGTTATAATAAAAAGTTAACTTGAGTGCATGTTCCCATAAAGGATAAAGCGATTTAGAGTATCCCATAAGATATGTTAAAAACCATCAAATTTCAATAAAGGTGATAGTAATTTCAAAAGATAATATAATTTTCAAAAAAACATGATGGATGGTAATGTTCCAAAGCCATATAGATGTATAATTAGCATTAAATCAGTAGGCCTTACTTAGGTGTC